AGTGTCTCTCTCTCTCTCACACACACACACACACACACACACACACATTCAAATCTATACACATAGGCACATATGCCACTCACTGGATGTCGTAGAACTACTGCGGCATCCCCTGGATCACAGCCGCCCAAGTGCCACGCATACAAATCAGGTCAGAGGTCAGCTGTGAAGCGTGACCTCAGGACAGGCGGTCAGTGTGTTCACTGCATCTCTTTCACTCTGATGAGTGGAAGCCGAGTGGTGTTAATATGCCCATTCATTCTCACTGCCGTCTGAGTGACACTCTCATTGTCGAGGGTTTATTATTGGAGAGAATATTCTTGAAATAAACCCTCATCATTTGTAATGTCACTGAAAGTAGACGTTTTAAACCAATTCCGACTTGGTTTGTAGTTTTAAGTCTATTTGGAGAGAATCTTAGCATTTGTTTTGTTTCATGGTAATCAGTGTGACACACATACGGCATAAAGAAATCACTATATCATAATACATGTACTATAATGTATTTAATATTTGCTTGCTTTAACTTTATTTGTATTTATTTTTCCCTGGTTTCACCCATCTTATTGTATTTTATTCATACTTTCAAAGTATTCACACTTGTATTTCATTTATTTTTTAATGTTTTGTCCTCTTCTGTGTTGTTAACCTATAACTTTTTAATAGTCAAAATCTGAATACATTGGTAGTTTCTTCTCTCTCTCTCTCTTTTTTTTTGCCTTTATTTATTTAATTATATATTTATTTTAGGGCTGTTTATCAGTAGAAACAGGGGACAGGTCATTATTGTGGAGAAAGGATTGACACACAACACAGGCCAGAACCTTATTAATCCAAACAAACACCACTGTGTCTGGAGGATATGGAGGACACTAACTGCTAAGTCACAGATCCGGCCTATATTAGGTAACTTTTCAGAACAAACATGTGGGAGGTGATTTGTTAAGTGATTACTGAATGCATTACTCATTTCTCAGCATTTTTAGGATGGAACAACCTTTGTTCAGGTAAAGTGTGCATGCAGCCTTTATGTAAGCTAAGGAAGCACTGGAGAAGCTTGTCCAGTCAACGAGTGGTGCCTCCAAAGCAAAGAAGCCGCAGCTGCCTGAAGAGATGCAACATGAGATGACTCAAAACTGTGATGAGTAGCCTGTGGAATCAGAGAGCGGGTGGGATGGAGTCAGTACATTCCAGGGTAGATGTGTAACATCGCCCCCTTTGAAACAAGAGTTGACAAGAAGTGGGAACAAGGTGGAGTTTGCTTTAAAGGAAGAGCACAGCTTATCCTGGTTCCCAAACCGTTTAAGGACACAGAAATACAGGTCTTGAGTTTGTGCAGAAAAGTTAACGCCACAAGTGGATCAATGATGTCAAAAGTTCAAGAAGAGTTTACAACGAAAGGGTCAAAGGTCATTGTGAACATGCAGCAGGTGGCGTCAGGGCCAGGTGCCTCTTCTTTGCCTAAAGGTTGCCAAGTATACATTATGGTGCTAGCAACACCAAGGCCGTGGGATCAGTCTGACTCTTTCTACAGATTTTAATCTAGCAGCCAAGATTTTCATGCTTCCATTAAGCTATTTTATTTTTGTGTGTCAGATTGTGCCACCGTCTTACTAACAAAGCCAAAGGTAAAGTTTAAAAAAAGATACAGAGTAAAAAGAGGGTGATATCCCATATCCGTTCAGTCGGCAGAGTAGCGGAAGCGAGTCGGTAGACAGTGTTCTCTATATAGAACGTGTTATTTAAATGTGTCCGGAATGTAAAGCTGTCTACTTAGATATGGGATCGTAGCAGCATTGCGCCAACTCACCTTAACTTGAGATGGAACTATCTCCATTTTCTCCATTACAATCAGTGATATGATACTTCAAGCTAATTGCAAACATTCACTTAGAAATCTTTAATGCTTTGATCGACATTTCAAGAGGCTCACAGTGCCATCCGCCTTAGTTTTCAAAGCGGAAGTAAGCTATTTCCTGTGAATGTCAGAGACTTCCGATTCATTAACGGACTGTTTTTGTAGCGCTAAAATAACTCAAAGCTTTTCAAACATGAAATTTCATTCAAGCTCGAATCATTTAAAAATTTGAAAAACTCGAATACAGCTTCTTTAGAAAATATCTTGGATTTAGTGGCGCCATCTTGTGGCTAGAAATGAAATGACAACGTATTCTCATACAAAACACAGCAGTATATAATATGTCTCTTACTATTCCTTATCATTAAGTTGGTATTTAGAGGACTGATGCTGTTCCTAGATCCACCTGACAGACCTTTCTTAAAGGAGTTTTGGTTTCTCACACTTGACTGACAGGTGCCAAGTTCAGGCGGTATAGACAGTCATCAGAATGCCCAGTATGAACAGCTGAGGCATCATGGGGGATTTTCCTCTGGCACTTGCTTCCATTCCGATTGTAACCACAGGGTGGTTCTCGGGGATTGAATGCTTGTGGTGCCTCTCAGTTTTGTTCTCTCTCTGTAGATGTTTCTCTGGCAAGCTGATCTGAGACCAGAATCTGCAAAAAAGAGACAGATTGGCTCTTGGTAAACCAAATGCAGAAAACATTGGTTTTGAGCTCAGCGTGGCCTTATAAATGGAGTGGGTGGTCTTATAAATCATTATCTTACCCATTAGGGGAAACACTTATATGGACAACTTATATGGAAAAAATAATATTACATTAATATTGTGTGAATCTCACAAAGAGGTCATATATTTTACCCCAGAATCAAAAGAAAATGAATATAGGCCTACATTTTGCATGAAAAATATAGCCTATTTTAGGACATTTAAGACATTATGCGACATTATTTACAAATGTTTCAATGGTTTACTGCAAAAAATAGCATTCTAATTACTGTAATGTGAAAGAAATCTCACTATCATTACTGTAATATAATTTATAATGTCCAGAAAATATAATTGATGTAATATATATATACACACACACACACACACACACATCTATTGGCGGTCAAAAGTTTGGATGTTTCTGGACGTTTGAAGTTTGGATGTTTTTTAAAACAACAACAACAATTTTGTCAAATGTTATTACAATTTAAAAGTATTGTTTTATATTTCAATATATTTAATGTAATTTATTCCTGTGATGGCAAATCTGAATTTTCAGCAGCCATTACTCCAGTTTCACATGATCATACAAAATCATTCTGCTGATATGCTGATTTGCTAAGAAACTTATTATAATCAATTTTGAAAACAGTTGTGCTGCTTAATATTTTTTGTGGAAACTGTCATGCACTACCATTAAAAAGTATGTGGTAAGATGAAAGAAAGAAAGAAAGAAAGAAAGAAAGAAAGAAAGAAAGAAAGAAAGAAATGATACTTACATTCAGCATACATTAAATTGATCAAAAGTGACAGAAAAAAATATTTATAATTGTATAAAAATTCTATTTCAAATAAATTCTATTCTTTTGAACTTTTTGTTAATCAAAGAATCCTGAACAAATCACAATTTCACCACAATTGTTTTCTACAGGGACTGTAAATAAGAAATGTTAAAGGTATAATCAGCATAAATGGCCATGATTAATTTTAACTAATGCTGTTTATATTTAAATAGACGGTGGGTTTTAGATGTGCCTAATTGTCATGAACATAAGCTCACAATGAGGAAAAATATTATGGTATTACAACAGCATTCATTATCTTTAGGAAAAAAATATACTTTTTATTTCTTTTGATTTGCTAGTAAAATATGACCCAGATGTTGCTTGACAGACTTGTGAGATTCACCATTCACCATTATCTGTCTAATCTGTTATCGAACTAATTAATTATCCTGCATTAACTGTCACAGAACACACTGTTACACTTTGGTCCTTTACCGATAAGGCAAAACAGCCATGAGGTTCAGATAAACAGATTGTATTCTGTTTTTTCCCGCAAGGGATTAAACTATTAATGTCACACTGACACTTCACAACCCCAAGACTGCTAAATATTACACACAGGCCAACACCACATCTGAATAGGAAAATCCTCCCGCATCCCCACAGTGACAGTAAACACGTATATGACCTGATTTACTCTCATAATTATTGAGAACATGTCCTTTTGGAAGGAGATGACACCATTTACAGGTTACGTGGCAATGCTACATGCGTCTTCTTATTGTATAGACTAGTGCTGTGCCAATGACAGCCACCGGATTAAAATATAAACTGAGTGGTTTGTAAAACACTTACAGAATATAAAGATCACAATATTTTTCCATATTTTCACATGGAGAGGAAACTTGCTGTTGTATTTCTTTCATATCAATATTATTTCTTTCAATAAATAAAACGATGACCTTTCTTTGACTTAGTGCCAACATCATCCCAGAGTCATGGAAATAGCCATACACATAACTGACCGGAACCACTACACTGGTCCGTATGGTGTCTAAATACACCTAACAATGCATAATAAAACATAGTTCTCATGGAAACTCTCATGTTTCAACTCTCATGCATTAAGATGCATCAATACATGTTTATGTCACATATAAATATCAGTACCTGAGCCAGAAAAACAAACATTCACAAGCTTTTAACTAAGCCTGCAAGAGTTTGTCTACCCTGAGCGAAATGGCTAGAGGTATGTCTGTGATGCTTTCTGTTACATGTTATTTGTAGCACTTAGGACATAGATATCATATCTTATTTTTGACATCTCCCTATTTAGTTATATATTTAATACATGTATTATATATTTTTTCTTACCTGTAAAAGTAATTTTATAGTTTAAAGAGGATAAAATAAATTGCTTGATTTCATTGGTTATTTTTTTCAGGAGCTTTGAAACAACAATGCTGCAGATGAAAAATAAATCTCCTTCTTTTCTTCTCCTAGCATTAGTGCTATTGTCGGTGGTGCTGGTTAGTTTGTTGGTGAACCAGGGGAGAGCATCAGATAACCAGCGGCTCTTCAATAATGCAGTCATTCGTGTACAACACCTGCACCAGCTGGCTGCAAAAATGATTAACGACTTTGTAAGATTCTCATTCAAATCTATTCAGAACTAGTAGATTCTAAACTAATTTAGAGCAAACATTATTGGTCACACCTATTTAGGTTTAAAAGTGAAATATGAGCTTAGGACTTTGATAACTCATCTGCGAAACTTCTATTTATTTAGTTATTTGAGTGAGTTGAATGTATTATAAATAATACATTTTAAATACAATACTAAATACAATTTGCCTTTTGTTATCAAGGAGGACAGCCTGTTGCCTTAGGAACGCAGACAGCTGAGTAAAATCTTCCCTCTTTCTTTCTGCAATTCTGACTACACTGAGGCGCCCACTGGAAAAGATGAAACACAGAAGAGCTTTGTGAGTAAACTATATAATTAATTATTGGTCACACCTATTTAGGTTTAAAAGTGAAATATGAGCTTAGGACTTTGATAACTCATCTGCGAAACTTCTATTTATTTAGTTATTTGAGTGAGTTGAATGTATTATAAATAATACATTTTAAATACAATACTAAATACAATTTGCCTTTTGTTATCAAGGAGGACAGCCTGTTGCCTGAGGAACGCAGACAGCTGAGTAAAATCTTCCCTCTGTCTTTCTGCAATTCTGACTACACTGAGGCGCCCACTGGAAAAGATGAAACACAGAAGAGCTCTGTGAGTAAACTATATAATTAAAAATTAAATCCCAACATGTTTTGTCCCAGGGGTTTTCGAATGGGGGGTCTGGGGACCCCCAGGGGGTCGCAAGGGGTATTATGGGGTCTGTGGAAAAGTTTGGAGAAAAACAGTGTAAAAATATAAAAATAAATAATAATAATAAGATTTAACTAAGTACATTGATATGATTATATATATGAATAACCAAATAGAATAAAGTTATTTCAATAAATGCATAAAATACATCTTGTACTACAGCGAGCAGTAAAAGTAATAACATAACGAAATAAAAGTTTCATAGTTTCCAAATAATATTTTACACATATTTATAATATTAATTTTCACTGTGTTGGGTCTTTATAAATATAAATATATAGCTGCCTTTTAAATTTTAGGTTGGGTTCCCTCTCATTAGGATGATCATATTTGGGGGTACGTGCAATCTGAAATATCGAAAATCCCTGTTTTTATTCAACAATATATACAACTATAAAACAAATAGTATCAAACAAATTAAAGAATACAATATTAGTACATGCATGACACAGGCGAAATATTGTTGTTGTTTTCACACAAGTGGATGACAATTTTACTCTTAAATTGCTTATAAATCAAAGAAATCGTTAAGAACATATTTACCAACCACAGTAGATGCTAAGAGATTAACCGTTTCCATCATTACACATTTTTGCATATCATAGTTTGGGAAGCACTTGGAATTGATCAAATGGGCAGCATAAACATCAAAAATGGCCAGTGGTCTGAAGCCTCCAATTTTATTATTATTATTTTTTTCTTTCTTCAGATGTTGAAGCTTCTTCGCATCTCTTTTCGCCTTATTGAGTCCTGGGAGCTCCCCAGCCAGACCCTGAGCGGAACCGTCTCAAACAGCCTGACTGTCGGGAACCCCAACCAGATCACTGAGAAGCTGGCCGACTTGAAAATGGGCATCAGTGTGCTCATCAAGGTGAGAAAGACAAGCTTTAGGCTACTTTTATTTTTTCACACAATATGTCTAGTGGTCGTACCAGGACGTGTGACAGCATCTTCACATCTTCAGATCTTATTTGGACAGCTATAAGATCATTTTGCATTTGTATCTGCTGCAGGGATGTCTCGATGGTCAACCAAACATGGATGATAACGACTCCCTGCCGCTGCCTTTTGAGGACTTCTACTTGACCAAGGGGGAGAACAACCTCAGAGAGAGCTTTCGTCTGCTGGCTTGCTTCAAGAAGGACATGCACAAGGTCGAAACCTACTTGAGGGTTGCAAATTGCAGGAGATCCCTGGATTCCAACTGCACCCTGTAGAGGGCGCCGGTGTATTGCTAGTCAATGCCTGTACATTTGTGTTTTGCTGCGAATCCAAGACCAGTTTAAGTCCTTAAAACCTCCTTAGGTAATTACAGTCTGGTCTTATATATGCAGGAAATGTCAACCAGCCATGGCTAGGTCTGTGTTTTCTTTTTCTCTCCCATATTTAAACCTTACCTATTGTATTTATTCTTCTCATTGGGGAGTGCTCATAAATTAAAGCAGTTCCTTTAAAACGTAAAGGATGGATCTGATATAACATTTCACAGTGGTGCTAAGCAATTTATGGCAATATTTTCAAATATGGCCAAACTGACCTTAGTCAAAGTGCTAACAATATGTTCTAGTATTTTATGGCTCAAAAAGGGGGCTAAAGATCAGTGTTACATCGAAATTGTAATTTAAATGGATAGGTTCACTCTGTGTATGCATGTAAACATTTGTCTGTCTCATAGAGTATGCTCTTATTATTACCGCATCGTATTCTCTTCAAGCGCTGTGTCTTTCTCCGTTAAAGTTTTAAATTGCATGCAATATTCTTGATCTGTGTGGTTTAATTTTCACACCTAAAATTTTGACTGGATTTTCAGATCAAAATCTGTTGTTGTGCCCTATCATGAGCTGTAATGCGTCCCAAAACAATGAACAAGCTAAAATTGACCGAAAATTTTAATGTTGCTATAAGCTACAAACATTGGCACATTAAAACAAGACATGCCAAAAAAATATAAATGTAAATATATAATATGAAAAATAAAAGCAATATAGTCGACGCAATGTCGCGGGTCTCTACATATTAACCGGAGGAGATATGTTTATGAATTATCTTGTTTTATTATTGTGAACGCTTTCAGAACGTTTGGAACGTGCGTAGTTATTACATCACCGAGGAAACTCCAGTTTGTTCTATGCTTTCAGAATCCTTCCACTGATCCAATCACAGCGCATTACGTAATATTACGTCCAAGAGCGCAAAATTCGATTCTGTTTACGGAAGTCGTAGAGGGGTGGCGTGTGAACTGATTATTCAGGGTCTCTACATATTAACCGGAGGAGATATGTTTATGAATTATCTTGTTTTATTATTGTGAACGCTTTCAGAACGTTTGGAACGTGCGTAGTTATTACATCACCGAGGAAACTCCAGTTTGTTCTATGCTTTCAGAATCCTTCCACTGATCCAATCACAGCGCATTACGTAATATGACGTCCAAGAGCGCAAAATTCGATTCTGTTTACGGAAGTCGTAGAGGGCTGGCGTGTGAACTGATTATTCAGTTTTGCCGTTTTAATTTCAGTCATATGTTTTATGAGGTAACCACACCGTTGTCGAGTTGAAACTTTATTTAAAGTCCATATCTCATGGATATTGAGGTCGATATAATTGAGTTTAAAGTCCCTCTCGAAAACAACAAAACTATTTTCGTTTGGGACATTCAGCCAACATTTTCAGAGGCTTACATTTATGTAAGTGTATTGTGTTGTGCTGTGTTATATTATTAGATTTAATCGTACTATTCCTTTTATCTAATGAATGACCAATAATATACCTTTCACTTGCTCTTTAAGTCAGATTACGTTTAACCTTTGCTCAAAAATGTACATAAGCATTATGTTTGCATATCAATGAAGTCATAGATTGGTTAGCTTTGGACTTTGAGGGATTTTTAGTGCAAAATCACCAGTAATCGCATAAATGTACCAAACTTTTACTTCAACTTCTCATCTGACTTTTTAGGAGTCCCTGTGGAGCGTGTATTCAGCATTTGGAGCTCTTTAACTGTTGAGGGTCTGTCCCAATGCCACGGTGGCTGAACCTGTGTTCTATGCACTGGTGAAGTTCTAACGTTACTCATCGGCACAGGCATCCAAAGCACTGATAAACAGTGCCTTTTCCAAAGTTCTCCTTTAAAGGTAGCCTAATGTATTACAGATAAAGTGAGTGAAAGTGGAAGTGACATGTGGCCAAGTATGGTGACCCATACTAGGAACATCCAAAGTGCGCACACACAGCAGTGAACACACACACACACACACCCGGGGAGCAGTTGGGGGTTCGGTGCCTTGCTCAAGGGCACCTCAGTCGTGGTATTGAAGGTGGGAGAGAGCGCAGTACATTCACTCCCCCCACCTACAATCCCTGCCGGTACGAGACTCAAACCTGCAACCTTTGGGTTACGAGTCCGACTCTCTAACCATTAGGCCACGACTTCCCCTTATAAAGCTGTAAATGTGATAAATACAGATAAAGCTGATACAGATAAAGCTGTAGCTGTTAATGTGATTTGCACATGTTTTACAGATGGGCTACTTATTAGATTTACTTTTAAGAAGGTTTGAGTTGAAACTTTTTTTGCAAATATATTTCTTATTCTTTCTTTCAACCTCTCCCTCAGGTCCGAATGAGTACGAAGCAGAATCTGTCCTTTCTATAGCACTAAACCTCTCAGCCTTTCCAAATGTCACAACCTGGCTAATCACTATCTGGGCTTTGGCGGCTGGTCTACTCGCATTATTACTGTAAGCAGCAATATTGATGATATAGACTCTTCATTTTTCCCTCAAGGCTAACTGTGCATCTGTTCATGGCTGGTTTGTAAACCAAACATTTTTGTGTTTCAAAAGTTGAAGGACATCTCAAAGTGTGTGGACGCAGGGTGCCAAGAAGAAACAGATGACCAGAGTATGCTTTTAAAATATGGATGCATAGCAGAGTTGACCTTCCCACAGCACGGAGTGAGCTGCCAGGGGGTCGGTGTGGCGGAGGAGATAATCGACAACGATCCAGGTGAGGTCATACAGACTTGGCTTGAGGCATGCAACATGCTTTATTTTTTTTAGAAGGTTATTGTTAAAATAAAAGTTCTAGAATTTTGATCTCATGTGCACTTAAATATATTTATAAAAATATGTCTCAATAATAATAATAAATATTTATAATGATAATAATAATTACATTTATATTACGTTTTAAATAAATAATTAAAATCATATTTAAATGATGTATCTTGTTTGTCTGTCTTATCATATTTTTAACATGTTTATTAATTTGTTTATTTAGCTTTTTAAATAGCCCTACATGACAGCATGCAACAATAGCTATTAATCAGCAACATCTGCTAAAATGTTGAATTCTTTAGATCCAGAGGAAAAGCTGAGAAAAAGAGGGACACTAATGAAACGTGCCAAAGACAAAACTGTGGTGGCTGCCTTTGAAAAGGTGCTTCTCATGATCTTGGTATTTCAACCAAGTATACTTATACAAGTATTTCCAGCAACCTACTGTATACAGCCATTATACAACACATTGCAATCTGTGGTAATATCCATTTCATGTCATTAATGTCCCATAGGAAACGGAAAAGTAGCAATTGAGATCAAGTACGATCCAGATGAGATCCTTCCAGAGGAGAACTCAGAAGGAGTCATAAAAGTAAGTGTTCCTTCAAGATCTTTGTACATTCTGGTGAATGATGTATTGAATTTATTCAATTTACAGAGAAGTAAATGTATGAAAATTTGTTCCACGTCTGCTTAAATCAGCTCATACGGTTATTGTTTTTCAGGGTCAGTAATATTATTAACCATTGCAATGAGGAACTAGCCAGTCACTTTCAGTTCTTATCCGGTTGGTCAGTGGTTTAGCAACAGCCAATCAGAGAGCTATCTAATAGCCAATTACTTTATGTGGCAGGTAAATGACATCTCCTGGAATGAGTATGAAGGTGCTGACAGTAATACTGAGGAGGATTTCCCATGGGACCTCACAGTGGACCTCCCTGATTGACACCCACTCAGCTTTCTCAACCCACACAGTTGCCAATGTTTTCCAGATAAGTGACCACTGAAAATTATATAAGTTTTCTCTTTAATGTTTGGTATTGACCATAATGTGTACAGCATTACGGTCATCCTCTGTGGTTAACCTCCCAATTTCAGTGCAACTGACCTCAGATTCCTCTTCTCTATTTCCAAAGCAATTCTGTTTTTTTATTTGGCTGATACTACCAAGGTCACACAGGTTGAGGTTTAAAGGTCAGGTCAGATGTGAAGCCAAGAAAGTCATGTAATTTCATAAGGACTTCAGGGAATCCAAAATGCATTTCTTTATAACTTAAAAAAAAATATCTTGTGTACAAAGTATGATCAGCCTCTTTGTTTGACATATTTGCACTACCTTAGAATACATTAAGTTTTAGTATGTTCTCATTAAAATAGGTTTTTGTTTGTTGTGCAAAACATGGTCAGGTCAAAGTGTCTGAATAATTTTTGTTCCCAAATTTTTATCAATTTTACTGTCCACTGTATGAAGACGTTTTGGGTATAATATGTCACAGTTTACTTTATTTTGCTATCCTCACATGAACTATAGTGTCCCTCACACTAGTGAACAAAATATGAAAAATTATATCTGCTGTCTGAATAATTTTTGGTTTGACTGTGTATGTATATATATATACACAGGTGTTCCTGTGGCTCAGTGGTAGAGCATTGCGTTAGCAGCGCAAAAGGTCGTGGGTTCAATTCCCAGGGAAC